TTCTCTGGCCGGAAAGCATTGATTAGAGAGGAAATTAGGCCTAATACTTTAAAAATGAAATAAATTAAATTAACACACTAAAATAAATTATACCTTCCATGATCGTAGTTAATACTCTTAACAAAACCCCTTCTTCGTTTCTCACACCAGTTCCATATTAATTCAAATTCAATCACATTTGTGCTAGCCACAATTTCACATTAATTAAGACTTAGCCCTTGTTTGATCCCCATTTTTTGGAAAAAATGAATTTTTCAACAATGTTTTGACATAATTTCAACCACACATTCTTCAATAAAATAATATTACACGCAAATCCAAAATTTTTCTTTAATTTTTAACCACACATTTCACATCAATACACTATTCAAAAATTCATTTTCCCCATCAAAATGGGGCTCAAACAAGGGCTTAATTATCCAAATAGTCACTGAACTTTGCCAAAAGTTTTCAGAAGGTCACTAAACTTTGAAACTTCCCTAAATAGTCACTAAACTTTGCCAACACTTCTCAAGAGGTCACCGAATTCCAAAACTTTCCTAAGTAGTCATTGAACTTTGCGAAAAATTCTTAAGAGGTCACTCAACGTTGCAAATTGGGAGACTATACATCACTGGTTTAGTGATTTCATAGGAACTTTTTGCAAAATTCAGTAACTATTTAGGGAAGTTTTGATGTTCGATGACCTCCAGAAACTTTTGGCAAAGTTCAGTGGCCATTTGGGGAATTAACTTCATTAATTAACAGTAGTACAATGGCCGATAAAAAGGACATTCAAAGTCAGATATTTTGTCGTTGACGCCAAAGAAGCCATTGCCGGGGGACTATTGCGGTAACAGGTGTGTGGGATGTCTATTACGAGGAGCTCGATAAATACAACAAGCTTTACAATGCCAATTCTAGGCCTTGATGAATCCAAACTATTGATTGGTTAGTACATGTAAATTATTTGTGATTTGATGCATTGATCAGCTTGTTTATCAACTGAAATGAAAATTGATTTGAAGCATAGGCAGTAGAAATGAGATTTGTGGTAACTAATTATGGGGTTCTTCATATTAAAAGTAGACTATAGATACCATACTTATAATGCCAGAAAAGTATAGTTTCATAAATCCAAATTCATCATTATTGCTTCATATTCTGAATTTTAGTTCATTTTGCTCCACCTGCAATTATGTGCAATTCCTCAGCTATTTCCTTGCACATTTGATGTTCCCATGACGGGTACTTGGACTTGTGTTGATCTCTGGTGTGTTTGAGTTAGTCAAGTATCTTGAAAATTATGCATATAGAGTTACTCTAAATCAAGTCTTTTTGAATAGTCAAGTGTATAGTCATATTCAGGTGATAAAATTATGCATTATTCTGTGTGTACAGAATAATGCATTAAAGAATGGAACCAGAATACTCAAATGAGGTCCATGTGAGTAAAATATTACCAAAAAAATATCCATCCACCCTCATTGTATGTATTCTGTGAAACCCTTGTGAAAGAAATTATGTACACTAAGTGGAGTTCTAAAATTATTGTACTTTCGTCTTCAATGGATTGGCATTATATCCGGTACAAAGTACAAGGTCAAGCAGCTTCGGATTGTGTGTGATCCTACTAACTTCTAACCACTTCACTTGTTTCATCGCTCAAGTTTCTTCCTCTTATTTCAAATCTCTTTATATGCATATCTTCTTCTCTTCTTCTTATATTTTTTTCAACAATAAGAGCACAAGCAAATAAATTTTAAGAGTTTTGGAATAATTTGAAGAGACACCAGAATCTACAATTTTGTGAGCAACAAATCAAAATTTTCAAGGCTTAAGATCAGACAATGAGGTGCAAATGCTTTGTCCCGTTCAATTTTATAATCTCTTGTCGATAAATATTATGCTAACGAAATAATATGATATATCATAATGGCCATCTAGTACAAATGACATATATGTTATGCGTTCTTACTGGATTCTAAAAGTATGATATGACCGTATGATTATCTTGATGCATAAATTGATACTTTTATTCGAAATTACACAAATACTCGTGTCCTATTGAGTATTTTCACCCCCCCTTTTTTTTCCATTTCCCACAGGTTAAAATGGGTCATTGGTTGGCGGACGATGATGTGCTGTCATCGTACCTGGATTTATCTGAGTTAACAAAATAAATCCGGTGTAATATGAGTAAAACATTTTAATTTCATTTCATTATTTTAAAAACCTCTTTCTTTTGTTGAGGAATTTGGAATAGAATTTTTTTGATTATGAATTTCAATTTTTGTTAAATTACATTGATGGGACCAGCATTAAAATTGTCTATTATATACAATGAAATGCGTAAATTTGATAGAGGATTAGATTCTACTGGAAATCAGTTAGAAATAAATAAATTTTTTCTTTCTCTCGCTTCTCTATGCATATATGTTTTTCATGTTATAAATATGACTTCAATGGTTATTGAACCATGATCTTGAGACAAAAAGCTTCAATACACCGTCAAATTTCTCAATTGTGCCACATGTACACCGGCGGTGTACAGCCTCTCACACAAGGGGGCCCAAGCCTTTTTATTGGGCGTGAGCCCCTCCTTCTTGTGAGAGGCGTGCGTGTCAACGCTGGTGTACAGATAATAAAATTCTAAATTTCTTTACTCTTAAATTATCCTGACATTCTCGGTGTACAAATTGTGAATTTCTAAATTTCTTTACTCCTGAATGATCCATTATTGTAACTTTAACTCATTTCAAATCACCCACTACACCAAATGTTTGGAACATATACTATATGATTTACTTTAGTTTAACAAAATATACTTTATCTTGCAGTTGATATCACCATTAAATTTTAAAGATATGGCGTAGACAGGTCTAACGCTCCATTACGGTTAAAAATTCTAATAACCACCGAAAGGAGACTTCTCAAATTAAAGTATTCCGTTGATCTGAAAATTTTGGTTAAATGCCCAAAAATGGCCAAAATAGAGTTAGCAGCCTTATAAGTTATTAAATTTTAATGACATTTTTTGTTGCAATTTAAAATCTAAAATTTGGATCTTTATAGAGAGTGTAGTCTTGTTGAGGATGCTGAAAATGTCATAAAGCAAGAACAACATGTAGTGGCATTGAAATATGTTCGACAGGGGAAAGAAGGATTAATGTCTCCAAACACCAATTAATGAGTATGGGCCCTACAGGTCTTGATGTAAGGGTTTTCGAAGTCTCGATCACTATGGGAGGGAATGACATTGGTAAACCTAAGTTTATGAAGTGATATATAGCTGTTCTTTTCTCCATTCCGTCATGTCCTTACTGGATTTGGAGCTTTCTCTCGCTACTAAGCTAATGCTCTCAATAATAAGGAAAAAATGGCTTCTCTTCTAACCTTTTAGAGGTGGGATAACTGATTGGCTATTCCAAAACGGAAATATCGAGCTAAAGATTATGACGGAGAAAGCTCCTCAGATGATGATAGTAGCAGATGCAATAGAAGTTGAATTTGCTACACCAATCCAAGATTGCATATCCAGACTCGATGAGAGATGAATTGTATAGAATTCACAAGCTACGTCACTTTTAATTTTCAAAAGTGAGGTTCTTATGCCATCTCCAGTGCTGTATCAAAATTTGCACCATTTTATACCAAATCAAAATTCATCTCCAACCATTACATAAAAACTCACACCAAATGAATAATGCTTTATTATTTTATTCATTCTTTCGATTTTTGAAAATGTATTTATTTATTTTATAACTATA